GGGGGGGGGGGGGGGGGGGGGGGGGGGGGGGCTTTTGTCTGCTTGCCCCAAAGTCATGTTTAGGCGTTCGCGCGTCGAGGCATTGTACGCAGGTCGAGTATACTTGAATTTAAACAATGACGTTGAAGAAAGGAGAAGTCGCTTGGCGGTGATCTCTGGCGTTCATCTGAATCCATGTGCTGTTATATTTCCTTTATTTACTGATCATTCATTCTCTAAGCATGGAATTCGCAACATTGCTCAGTGCAACCAGCCAAGGAAAGAGTAGCAAGTAGTAGGTTTGCGAATAATAGGGCGACATGTATTCAAGGCAGTCATTCCTGAGCTTGAGTACGTATGGCAGATTCGATCTGATGCGCATGCCTTACGGATGCTATACACCTTGATAATCACCGGTCAACAGGATATGATTTTTGAGTAAAAGAGACTAGGCATCTCGTTTACCTCTGAACAAATATGAGGTTGAAAACAAATCGATTTGACTCTCCAATGAAAACTTATGGTTCTTGAAATATTCTACAACGGACAGCTTTCTAGATGAATGACTAAGAAACCGAAACTTTAATCAAAGTTTTCACTAACAGTCGAAGCTTTAAGTTTGCCTTCCTAAACGAGCGCCAAGAAAATATTCCAGAATTTAAAACCAGTTCAAGGAAAGGATTTTGTTGAAATATTCTAAGTGTGGTTTTGCCATTAACAAATAATCTACTGACGTCATAATTGTAATATTCAGACGAAGGCAGTCATCGGCATTATTTATAGTTCGCGCCATCCTTCCAATCGCCTAAGACCTTAGAGGCGTGATGTTGGCTTAGTTTTTAGACGCCATCCAGTTAGACGTCGTTTGGTTCATTCGGTTAATCTAGAATCAGCAACAGCTCATGATTATGAGAAAATTTAAACAAGGCATTGAAAGTCTCTACTATTGCAAGGAGACACTTGGATTTGCCAACAAAAGTCAGTCATACTATAGCCGGCGTGAATAACCAATACGCGTAATTGCTCCGAATTTAAATGGTATATGTACTAACAACCAATGGTACTTCGAGCAGGAACTGCTCGACTCAACATGACTTTGGAACTGTGCACTGTAGGTGCTATAATATCATAAAACCATAGCTGTCTCAAATACCCTCTAGACCGCTAGAAGCAAGGAGAAAATGCCACTGCGTCACGCAAAGCTAACTCGTTCGTTGGACATATATGCATCGAATCAATGGAAATACCTTACTCAAACGCCACATACACCTAAACTTACACCAGATGTCAACTGGCGAACCAGTTCTTACCAGCCTGCATTATGACAAACTATGCCTTATGCCTCTCGACGAAAAAGAAAACAAATAGTAGGAAAGCATCAGCTGCGAGCGACAATGCTATGGAATAGTACGGCAGGAGATAGAGCATTTAAATCTTCATTAACGGTACTGGTCAGTGATGGAGGTACTGACTCTGAGGGAAACCATCGCACTGGTTTAGAATCAGCAAATTTTGGCAGGTTACGTAAAATATGGAAACACTAAATGCAAGGAGCGGTCACGATAGACATTTTGAGAGTTGTTTGTAACGTAAAGTATGAAAACTTTCGTGATCATCAAAAGTCATAAAGCTCATTTCGGCAACTTCTGATGAGGCTGTTTGCAAAGTATATTCAAAAAGTGATGCTTTTTACAGTCTATCAGTTGCAGTCCAGAGGTTCGATAACTAACAATGTGCGCAAATTGCCAGACGAACTCAAAAACTGAATCTTTGCTTAGCTTGATAAAGCGGCTCAACAGGTGAATGGAAATATTTTCGAAGCCTTTCTCGTTTGGAATTTTTGAAGCTCTTTTAGTGCTCACAGATGTGTTGCAGGACAATGCAAAACGTGAAAAAACCTTGTTATGGTATGTCTGCTTGCAACGAGGAGTAGGTTTTTCCGCCGTAGCGAATCTGACCAACTTTAATCTGAAATGAGGTTGTTTGCAAAGTATATTCAAAAAGTGATGCTTTTTACAGTCTATCAGTTGCAGTCCAGAGGTTCGATAACTAACAATGTGCGCAAATTGCCAGACGAACTCAAAAACTGAATCTTTGCTTAGCTTGATAAAGCAGCTCAACAGGTGAATGGAAATATTTTCGAAGCCTTTCTTGTTTGGAATTTTTGAAGCTCTTTCAGTGGTCACAGATGTGTTGCAGGACAATGCAAAACGTGAAAAAACCTTGTTATGGTATGCCTGCTTGCAACGAGGAGTAGGTTTTTCCGCCGTAGCGAATCTGACCAACTTTAATCTGAAATTCAATCACACAAGCAGGTGTGCCTCAACGATTCATTTCTGTTTTGCATTGACATCAAATACATCTGCGGCCACGAAACGGTTCCCATGAAAGCGATATACAAACTGTTTTCCATCCTCTTTTGGATCCTTTTCACCAAGTAGGAATAGGCACTGCACTCATTTCTGACAGTTTTCGCTGTTCAGTGGTCATGAGCATCTGTTCCTTCGATAAGATATAAATTAAAATTCGATTATTCTTCGCTGACACTGCTGCTGGAAGATCAACATAATAATTTTCAATACTTTCCTACTGTATAATATTTTTAAGCTTTGTGCAACGTGAAAAAACCTATTACATATCGTATAAATACTGCTCTGTACGTTGAGCCGCATCACTGAACGACGAACAGACCGTCGTCGATCTTTTGGACGACGCTTGTCAACATCACATGGCTCACAGTACGGAGTCACATCGAGCCAGAGGCGTGCCAATTTCCAGTAAATGGTCAAACCATGCCAGCGTTATTTTATGCATATTTGATGTCCGCAAAGTGGGCTAACGCGAAAACAGCGACGTGCGTAGTATTCTAGCACCGTTGTAAACTATTCCGTTTACCGTTCGTTCTTTCTTGTTCATGCGGCAAAACTGTTTCAAAGCGAGGCAGCTAATGAATTTTGGTAGTAACTAACCTTGCTTTCAAGCCCAGATTGTCAAAGGGCTTCAGAAAATTTGCACAGTGCGTGACTTTAAGTCCTAATCACAGTCACCACCATTCAAGATATAAATAAAACAGCGGGATTTCAATAGCACGTTGACGTAATCTTCCTTCATTTCCACCTATTTGCGTCCCTCGCATCCAGTCTGAGGAAGCAGGGAACTGAAAAAAGATACAGAGAACTCATTGCTACGGTCTGCAATAACAGAGCTGCTAGTGCGAAACTTCAGGTATGTACAGATGCTTCTCTGCTTACGACGGGGTTACATCTCGACGAACTCACCATAAGTTAAAAGTATCGAAAGTCGATTATGAACATGATAAATACATAACGGCTGCCATTTAATAAATAAACGAATAAATACCGTAACTAACTAAATACGAGTAGTTGAAAAGTTAAGATTAACTGCCGTAAAATGACGCTGGAGAGAAGGCTATAGCGAAGGATCATCAATTTCTTTTCTTTCCAATAATTCGCGTTCGCGAGCATACCTCAAAATTTGCAAATCTTTCATAATCGCGATCGTACATTCACTGTATGAGATGTTTACGCTTACGATCGTTACAGATACAGATACCACATCGCCATCGCACCATCGTAAAGGGAGGATCATCCGTAGTTCGAAGCCCAAACAAAAATCGAGAAAGGCACCTGAGGAGATGCAGCATCACTGGCTATTCACAGCAGTCCTAGAAAAGGTTTTCAGACACTCCATGGGATAAATCAAGGGTTGAAGATAAATGAGCACTAAGCATTACTTAAGCCACCTGAAGTAGACGATACTTTGATTCTCTCAAAGTCGCCAGAAAAACTCCAAAGAACAATCCAAAAACTAAAGAATGTCATCATCAAAGCAAAACTGAAAATGACCCCAAAGAAAACTGAATTCATATTTAAAAAATACGTGAGCCCGTGATCTGATGAAGTCAATGGACTGCGGCTTGAAAAGGTGCAATAATACATTTAGCTGAAACAGCCTACCATTGCAGGAAAACCGACTCAGAGAAATCAACAGAAGATAAGTGGCATGCAGCAGTTCTGAAAGACTGAAAATGTTCCCATCCGGTAAACTGTCCAAGTGCATAAAACGAAACATTTTCAATCAATTGCGCACCCAGTCTGGAAAGGCCTCTACCCAGCAGTGGATGGCAAAAGGCTGTTATGATCGAAAACATGGTTTATAAGTTGCTAATTTCTCACGCTAAAATGGCTAAAAACGTACACTTCAAACTGCATGACATATAACATTCAGATCGCTTCAAGGGGTTACCAAATAAATGCATCACAGATTCAGAAACTAAAGGTTTCATGCTGTCGCAGTGCGTAAAAAATGCAGCTTCTCTTTTAAAAAGTTCTTTTAAAAGCGAACGAATAGGAAAATTCCGGAGATTCAGCGTCTAAATTAGATTTCAGCAGTGCTAACGATAAATAACTACGTTTATTTTTTTTACAAGCTTTATGTTCTTCTGCAAAATAACAGGCACTGAATACCGTACTTGACAAAAAATATAATTGCCAAAAATAATGCATTTTGTAATTCTAATAAACTGGAATTCGTTTCAGTACAAAGAACAAGTAAACATAAACTTTAAGTTAAAAACAGAGGAAAACATTCGCCACGACTGCCACCTAAACGGCAAGTTCAGCGGTATGGCATCCTTGTTAATCATCCGCTGATGCTCCATTGCTGAGCAATGCATCATCTTAGTTGTAAAAGATCTTAAAACATAAGGCATGAAAACGCTAAAACAGCTTAAAGTAAACCGTAATACCATGCACTGCATCGTCCAAACTATTGCTTTTGAAGGAAGATATGTATCAGGAAGATGTTTTCTGAATTTCTTGAGATGCAGGAATTGTCGGATACATCGGATAGACTGGTCGATACGTCATGTCGTCACAAACCTCCTGATTGTCATCAGCGTCGCGAATGTTACCTGATGTCATGCCGATACACTCTTGATATGAAGGAGGTGCTAAAATACGTCACTCAATTTTCCGTATTTACTCTCTGGGGTTATTACGTTTCCATCGCAAAGCACTTAAAGGCGGAGCGGTCGGCTGAACGGGAACTGAAGGCGTCTGCAACGGAGCAGAAGGTTGCGGAAATGCACCAGCAGCACTGATCTGTGTTGTCGACGGCTGCTCCAAAGGCACGGTGCCTATCACTATGGGAATGCTGAACCTCATCGCCGTCGCTTCTTCAATGTAAACGATAAACTAAAATGCGAATTTCCTTAAACTTTCATAAAATTGCAATTTTAGGCACATTTCCAGAATGGCTGTCATGCACAGCCACTTACATTACTTTCTTTCCAACTGCAAAACCTACATTCAGCTCATTTAGTCTAAGTAGTATCTCTTGCGCAATAGCTTCCGTTCTGCGCAATATGTGCTACAACGCTAAGCGTCTACTTACTATGAGCATGTAATTCATAGATATGAGACGGCAACCGGCTAGGTTCGTTGGTGGCAGTGGGGGTACAGCGATAACGTCGGCACTCCAGATCTGCGATTCCAGAGGAGGGATGGCCCCTTTCGATATCAGACCAATCTTCGAAACACTACCACAAGTTTTCTTCGTCCTTTTCGAGTTATAAGTAATCGTCTAAAATAGTCGGGTTTCAATCGACAACAACGTCAATGCAATTGGCAGAAGTACCTGATGAAGAAACGCCTCGACTTTCTTTACTGTTCTATTCGAATCATTCAACACTTCCGCAGTGATATGTATTTGTTCTCCGGGAACAAAAGCACAACGCGGAATCTTCAAAACAACCGATACCCCCGTGCCGGTGTAACAGGCGATCAAGCGGTCAAAGAAACCCAATGCATGGTGCTGCTGTCGAAATCCCGGGGTCTAAAAGGCTTAAACTACAAAAACAACTATCTGCAAAGTAACTGCTGTTAATCATTATGAAACAGAAATCAGTTCATACGTTGCTGCTCGAAACAGGCTGCCTTCTGCATTCTGGGAGAATTGTTAGATCACAAGCACCTAGAGCTACTGTCGTTATTGTCGTG